ACCCCGGCCGGCCGCCGGCTGCAGTGCCTGGATCTCCGGAACGGCGGTACCTCGCTCATTTTCGCTCGTGCATTCAGCGGCGGGCTGTCGATTTTTCGAGTGTCGGCTGCCGATCTCCCGCGAGCCGGCCACCTGTCAGCCGCCGCTCGGCTCTGTGTTAACCCTCGCATGTGTAGGGGGGGGGTCGGATGGACCCCCCCCCATGGTTTTTCGCGAATAACTCGCGTAAAAAGCGGCCGATCGCGACGAAACTTTCAGTACCCTCGCATTGATCAATTTTACACCTACCCTGAAAATTTCATGACCCTGACCCAAATGACCTTTGACCTGTGACCTCTTTTCCGAGACCATGTTTGGCCGTAATCGCGATTTCGCGTATGTCGGCTCGCACTAGCCGCGAGTTTGCAAGCTTTTCGTGGTTTCAAACGTTCAAACATGTGATTTGATGTTACTCCCGTGTGTGTCAAGGTCACCTGAAGGTCAGGTCAGGTCATTGACCTTTGGTGACCTCGGGTGACCTCGGGTCACTTTTTCGAGTTTTACATGTTTCTAGGCTAGTTTTTGGAGCTGAATTCGAATTTAGCAACCATTTGAACATTTACGAAGTAGTTTTGGTGACTTCGTAACATGTTACGAAGCTGTCAGAGGCGGTTGACACGTACTACGAATACCCGTCACGACGCCTACTGGTTGACCTGACCTGACCTGACCCGACCTGGTCTAAATGCTTCAAGACATCATCTGTGATCAAAACTAACACGATATTCGTGATCAGCACCCCGAAAAACCCCTTAGCAGCCACACTTTACGACTTTCTAACAGGTCCCGATTTTCCCGACTTTGGGTCATTGACCTGACCTGGAAGGTCAACCAATGACCTAGGACCTTAAAATTGGGTATCATCGGCTTCCTCTCGTCACGGGCAACACGCTCGTTTTTTCCGCGAAGCTCTAGCTCAATCAGGGGCCAAACGGCAAGGGGGGGGTCCAACCGACCCCCCCCCTACACATTAGAAGCTGGAAAACGCCGCACACATGCGAGGGTTAAGCATATAGTGACGGCGAATTTCTCCGGGATGGAGGGACCGCCATCGAGTTTGTCACGTGAATCGGCCGCATTCCTGTGTCTGAGGCCAATGCTTAAGAGATATGTGGTTCCGCGGCTATCTCGCAGGCCCTAAGAGAAAAAGCTCGCTGCAAAAACTGAGCGTTTCAAAAAACCCGCAAACCGACGCAAATAGAATAGTTATACAAGATATCTTGGCTCGCTACGCGTCGCGTTGGCCATAAAATGATTAAGGAGAAAATTTGGGACCGATTGGTGTTCGTCCCGTGTTGATTGGACGTCTAGAAGCTTAGATATTCGCGAAAAAACTTGTTAAACTTGCCAGAATACCTGCCAGCTTGCTGTATCACCTGCTACTTGTTAATGTACTGAAAACTTGCTAATGTGCTGAAAACCTGCCAAAGTACTTGGTATTTACTTGCCTAAATACCGCAAAGAACTTGTTCTAAAATACTTGGTATTTACTTGCCTAAATACCGCGAAAAACTTGTAACTTTTCGACGTTTAAATCATACGACGATCAATAATTTGGTCTCGGAATCCTTTTTTGAATTATCAATGATTTACTTGCAAATTGAACTGAATTACCTACCTATTAGAAGTGCATCCTAGCTATGTGAAATGCGATTCACCTTCCTACCTGTTGTTCCCCACTTGTTCTTCGCGTCCTACCCATCTTGCGGTTATAGCTGTAAGTTATCAGTCGGTGGATGGTTATAATGCAATACCCTGCACGGTGAACAGCTTGCGAGTTTTACAGCGGTGCGATTGCTGGGGCTTATTGCTGACTGAAAAGGGTAAATACAGTAAATACAGATGGCTGTGTTGGATCCCTTTGCTTTTGCCCAACATTCAGCGTTGGAATTGTAGCTTTACCGTCTCTCTTATTAAAGTTAGCTAACTTTTTGTAGATTCGTAAGGTTTGAAGCGACGCGCGTGACGATATCCCTCTGGCGGCCGCACGCGGACCTACCGCGCACGGCGGCTCTGGCCGGACGACTGCACAGGTGGCAGCACCTGCCCCGACTGGGCATTTACGGCGACCCCGGCCGGCCGCCGGCTGCAGTGCCTGGATCTCCGGAACGGCGGTACCTCGCTCATTTTCGCTCGTGCATTCAGCGGCGGGCTGTCGATTTTTCGAGTGTCGGCTGCCGATCTCCCGCGAGCCGGCCACCTGTCAGCCGCCGCTCGGCTCTGTGTTAAGCATATATATGACGGCGAATTTCTCCGGGATGGAGGGACCGCCATCGAGTTTGTCACGTGAATCGGCCGCATTCCTGTGTCTGAGGCCAATGCTTAAGAGATATGTGGTTCCGCGGCTATCTCGCAGGCCCTAAGAGAAAAAGCTCGCTGCAAAAACTGAGCGTTTCAAAAAACCCGCAAACCGACGCAAATAGAATAGTTATATGAGTCACAGGAACCAGTGTGTCCAACATATCAATCAGCTAACATGTAAGGACGCATGTGTAAGGCCGCATGTGCAATAGGGGTACCCATTTTTCCCGATTTTGGAAATTTGTGGGTGGGGGTGGTTTTTCCCATTATTTCGCGGCTCCTGATTCCAATGGTGCCAAAAATATTGAAATCAAAGGTGGTTTAGGGGTCGCGAATTGAGATTGAAATTTGCGTATTTACCTAGAAATATGCTTATTTTACGCTGATAGTAAATCGCAACGAAGGCAAACTTTTTGTTTCGAGAGTCGGGTAGAGGGGTCATTGAACGCTCCCTTTTCATCCAGATCGATGTGCTCTATCACGTGGTTACGGTTCAATACTTTACTAGCGATCATTACAATGTCGATATTGTAACATTTGGTGAAAAGCGCCGGGATGTTTTGCTCCTGTTGCTGGTATCATTCTGGTCAGCGTGCAATCATTTTTGATATTTTCTTTTTGTGTTGCATTAGTGACCTTTGATGACCTTTGAGGTCAAACTATGTGAAGTTTCAGTTGCCATATCTCAGTTCATGACAGGCTCTTTGTGTCCATTATACAATTCAAGTTTGTGCAAATTAGCTCAGGATACATCTGGCAGATCATGGCTCCGAATGTATTTCAAACCATGTAATTCAAAAACGATCAAACCATTTCGACCGTATACTTCCACAAGAAACGCCGTCCCGCTCACGGCTAGGATGTAATACACCTTTAGACAGGGTAGGACAAATACCTATGGGTGTTCTATACCAAAAAAATCAACTTCTGATCCAAAAACAGAAACTCCAAAGAGTCGATTCTATCCATGCCCACCAACCATGTACCATTTCATTTCTTCAGTGGGAACAGATACACACCGTTCATGTAAGAGTTTCCGATACACTCCGATCATTTACGAGTTCATATTAATTATTCGACACGGGGGACTAGCCATGCGCTGACATACGTGCACGGTTGATAGGTAGTTGACGAAGAACTTTCACAGCTTCTGGCACAGATCACTTGTGATCTCAGGTAATTAGCGTCTGAATCTGAAGAACCTATAAAGTAGCAGAAGATTTTCATCCTGCATGGGCCGTGGTGGCACCAGGACGCATCATATAAAGGAGTGTGCGTGCAAAGGCTGAAGAGGAGGAGAATCAGGTCCGCCACCATAAGGTCCGTGGCCCACCCACTGGGTCGGCCCCCAGGCAATGCCAAGAGTCAGTAAACGGTTCTGCCTCGGAGTTGGCTGAGTCGTTTAGACTTGGTACCTTCCTAATTCTCAGCTTTAGGCAATGCCATTCGACTTCAGTTCAGCACCATCTGAGGGTTTGGACTGGGCCTGTGACTTGTGAGTGCAGCGTAAGATCCGTTACTTTATCTTGCAAGGATACTTCTGGCAGCGGCCATCACCAGGCACTAGTTCCATGGCATGGTATCTGCACCCGTTTCATGTCAACAGCTTCTTGTAGTGGCACATGCCCAGAACTGGAGCCACGAGCAGTCGTGCACGCGTTCGGCCAGACCAGTGCTGTCCGTCATCAGCAAGATTGCAAACATATTGCTTTCATAATGGGGTGAGGATGAAGTTCATTGTTCCTCTCCTCCTGTGATGTTCTCCGCCAGCTGTCTTTCCATATGCACAATCGCATTCTGTGTTTGGTTGTGGGTGTTTGTGGGGGAGGGGCAAAGCTACACTCCAGCACAGCGGTCACCCAAAGGCGCGGTGGTGTAAAGCTTGCGCCCCTCCCTCTGCCGTCTCTGCAACTTCGGGACTCGGGGAGGTCGTCTAGCGAATTGGAAAAGGTCACGCATACCGGCGTCGCTTAGTGCTGTTTTTATGTCTTTGTAGATATATTTGGTGCTCTCTTTTACCGCTGCACGTCAAATATACAACTGAAGTAGTGTTGCACGGTGTCCAACAGTCATCAATACCACTGCAACACATTGGCTTTGCATATTTGTAGTCGTTAAAATGAAGTCATTTTTCCAAGTAAAATTAAAACTTCCAATGCAAGCTCGCGACCACTAAAAGTGGTCTGATATCGTTATTTCTGTCACTGCTAGATCCAGAACGGAGCAAAAAATGATAACATCGACCCCAAACTGTTGACATGGTTACCTTGTCCAAACATAAAATAATGTTAATTTGGTCGATTTTTCGCTAAAATTGACATTTTCATATTGAATTCGTGACCCCTAGAAATCGTTTGGTTTCGTTATTTTTGGCACAGATGGAATCAGAATAGACCAAATAATGGGAAAATTGACTCCAACCTGTTCGCATGGCAACCTTGTTCCAAAATAAAATAACATTATTTTGGTCAATTTTTCGCTAAAATTGGCATTTTCATTTTGAATTCGCGACCCCTAGAAATCGTTTGATTTCGCTATTTTTGGCACAGATGGAATCAGAATAGACCAAATAATGGGAAAATCCACCCCCACCTAAAATTTGGAAAATTGACCCAAAAATGGGTACCCCTAATGTGCAACTGTAATCCCTCTTGATCGACTACAAGTATTGAAAGAAAACGTCAACGGAGTAAAACTTCACCATGTGAATCTGCGTATAACTGGCATTCGTGATCAAGTATGCACAACAGATGTGAGGTGAGGACGCGGTGTCATTGCGATACAACATCAACTGATGCAATATTGGAATGCATTTTGCACTCATTCTTGCATATTGATAAGATCAAAAGTAAGGCGATAATGTGGATAAGTGTGTTGACAGATGTCGAAGACTGACGGTGATTACGAACTGCTTAACAGGCGACCGGATTGACGGTGATGCGCCTGACCGATCGTTGGAGTGCATGTCGCATCTGATGTCTATGGAAAACGGCAAAGGAGAAAACAGGACTATGGTGAAGGGCTGTTCTAACATCACATAAAACGGGAATGAGCAGTAACACCTGCCAATGAAAGCAGTGAAAAACAGCGAAACTGCCTGTTTATCCTGCCATGGTGCTAATGCCCAAAGTCAAGTTTTGTTTGTGTGTGTGTGTGGAAAGCGGTAGGGCGCTATGCGCTAAGCTATCATCCGTTTTAGCTTTGGTATCACAATACACGTATTAGGTGCTCGCACACTACTGCCAGTACTTCAGTCGGTACTGAGTAGCCCGCAGCTAATAACAACCTGATATTTGCTTCCTGCACAAACGTAGATGGCGGCTAGCATTATGGAAGTGTCTTTACATGATGAGTCTGATCGACGATGATGAATGAAATAATCATTTGAACTCGTTGAAAGATGACGATGTCCGGGTCACAACGAAGTGACTTAAAACTTGCAGGACGAATAACTGATGATTGGGCCGATGAATGTAGCTTGTGCTGCAGCCGAGGCCTGTGGGGACGGACGACCGGTGAGGTACAAATGGAGCAAGGAAACGAGACGTGAATGTACACCAAGCACAATGATATTTAGCTATCATAAGCGTTGACAATGGTGAATAGTCGAGCTGTTCGCCATATTGGACCTTCACGTCATAGCCATTGCAATATCAAGCTCCCCAAATTGTCATTAGCTTTCGCAGCCCAAGTCCAGTATTAAGTGCTCAAAGAACTTGCCAAGGCAATATAGCTGTGAGCAGCCCGAAGTTCATGGACGGATGGTGACATTTGCTTCTAGCAAAAAGTAGACGACGTCCAGCGCTGTAGTCGAACAGTGCCACTGCTAGAAAGGGAGAAGTTTTGCGAAAAAAATAATACCGGGAATTCGGTTAGATGGTTATGGAATGGACCATATTAAGGCATTTAGAATATCCTGCGCATGGTTTTCCTGTAAACCTGAAAAGCGTAGATAGTGGGAAAACCTCAGGGGGCGGATATCCGCCCCCCCCCCCCGGTCGGTGCGCGGGATATATTTGATTGATATGTGTAGGCACTGCTTTAAAAATGCAGTAAAACACTGAAAACCAAAGCAACGTTGGAATGATTTTCCGTAGGTATGCGTTTAGTTAGCCAAGCAAACAAAGTCACAGGCTCTTGCACATATTACAGAGTGCTCGGGCACTGGTGTAACAAACAACTCACTTGCACTGGGGTTCGGGCTCACAGAGTAGATCCAACAGATAACAGGTCGCATTCAGCATTGCGCCGGACACTACTGAAAATGTTGACAAGTGTCTGTCAGTAAACGCAAACATCAATCCCAATAGATAGGTACATGAAGACGATGACAAACATGTTGGCATTGTGTAGGAATGAGGACAGTAAATGATCACACAAAATGTAAAGCATTCTGCAACGTGTTGACAATGGACATTCAAATATGAATACATACCGGCCGTACGCAAGTGTCTTCGAAAATGTTGATCTCTTGATGGTGATGGAGAAGGTGTATCACGCCCAGAGGCTTCAAGAAGTCGATCCATTGTCCGCATATTGTTAAATTTGGTCAACACATGTCCGTTTTCAACGCATCCGTAAACCGATGGCGAGAGCATTTAAGAACGTTTGAGCATGTGACTGAAATACTCAAAGACACAAGTTGGAGGAAGGAGCAGGCGAAAAAAGAAAGATAACAACACAGTGTATGAGCATCGTGTTCCAGTGCTAAAAATGTAACTGAACAGGAAATGCAATATCATGTGTCGATCGCTCATGAGTGTGAACACATGCTTACATAGATGCAAACCTACACTATACGAAAACCTGACTGCTTTTTACGAGTGATTAACTGCTACATTCAGTGGACTGCATCATGTGGTACATGTTTGCGGGCGGAGCATGTCTACCGAATTCATTGGCAATTCAATTAAAACAAACACACACATACGTAGAACTAGATGATGAGAGCTAGTGTAACCGGGTGCACAGGTGGCTAATGTATATGTGCAGATAACTAATAGCTAGTGACAAATAAAAAAGTGCCAGCAACGGCCAGCGCAATGGGTGCTCCCTGATCGACGGTAAAATCTTCAACGGTATCGACGGTAAAGACGACTGGTAATGCACCTGTGAAAATAGGAGAAGCAGCGGATGATTAGCTGACATGTCGGCAAGTCGAAACGAATCGTCCAGAAAATATAATATGTCAAGCCCGCGGATTTCTAAGCTTATGATTTTTCAATTTCGACGACTGAGAGTGAAAATGCATTTCAGATGAGATATTATATAAATTTTACTAAAACCCTTAGAAGTCAATAGGCAGAGGGCTACAAGCCTACTTGATTCAACGTTGAATACCCACCCATAAAGGTCAGTTCATCCGAGCATTACCGCCTCCAAAACAAATACTAACGTTTTGTAGGCATACAATACCGTAAAAACGTTTGGAATCTTGGAGCAGAGCTGTTCGTTCAGCTAACAGCATCCTTTGATAATGAAATAGGCCGGAGGCAGAAACTGGCACTTGAGAGTAATGCACCTGTGAAAATAGGAGAAGCAGCGGATGATTAGCTGACATGTCGGCAAGTCGAAACGAATCGTCGAGAAAATATAATATGTCAAGCCCGCGGATTTCTAAGCTTATGATTTTTCAATTTCGACGACTGAGAGTGAAAATGCATTTCAGATGAGATATTATATAAATTTTACTAAAACCCTTAGAAGTCAATAGGCAGATGGCTACAAGCCTACTTGATTCAACGTTGAATACCCACCCATAAAGGTCAGTTCATCCGAGTATTACCGCCTCCAAAACAAATACTAACGTTTTGTAGGCATACAATACCGTAAAACGATTTGGAATCTTGGAGCAGAGCTGGTCGTTCAGTTACCAACATCCTTTGATAAAGAAATAGGCCGGAGGCAGAAACTGGCACTTGAGATTGCAGAGGCAGTCATCACACAGTCCCGGAAGACGTGGCTGGACAAGGCGTCCAAGCGGCACCTGGTCATACACGGTTGCTATTGGATACTGCGAAAACAACCTGCAGGCACATCATGACAAGGAATAAGCGTTTTGAATAGGTACGCTTTTCGTTACCTATATGATCAAACATGACATTGACACTATGACCGAATAAAACAAATCACCTCCAAACGGTAATAAACGTAATGTTTTTGTTTATAAAAAATCTGGTTTGGTAGCGTGTACCATTATGCTCCCATTCCACTTACTGGTCACAGATCCAAACTCATGAAACTCCTAGATGCCGTTCATGATGACGAGTGTGTTCAATGAAGCTTCTTCTGCTGCATGATGCACTGGTATGGTATGGTATGGTATTTGTGGCTTACGGGCCACCACAGCGTCCTGTATTTGGGCCCGGTTCTGTCGTCCGTCTTCGTTGTTGGTCCGTCCGTTGTCTTGAAGTGTCCGTCGTCTTCTTGGCTCGTAAGGGTGGGCTGAGGGGTGGGACAGGGTTCCTAGCTATCTCCTCCCGGGTAGCCGAATTGCCCCTTCTATTATGTTTTTTTGTTTTTGTTTTTTTTTTTGCCATTTTGCCATTCTGGGGTCTTTTATTTTGATTCTCATTGTTTTGAATATTGTTTTTTCTTTTTGGCTTCTTTTTTTGGCTTTTTTGGCTTTTTTGTCCTTGGCTCTAGGGGAGGAGATTTACAGGTCATTGATCAGCCCAGTGTTGTGTCTTTAGTGGATGAGTAGTGTTGTTAGCTCGGGGTGTAAGTCCTCGAGCAGTGTTGTGAGTGTTAGTGGGATGTTGGCGTCTCTGCAGTATGTTTGTATGTGTGTCCTGTGGTGTCGGTATTGTGGGCATGTGAGTAGCAGATGTTTGACAGTGATGAAAGTGTTGCAGGTGTTGCATTTCGGTCTCGGGCTTCTTGTGATGATGTAGTTGTGTGTGATAGCGGTGTGTCCAATGCGAAGTCGTGTGATAGCCCTCTCGTTTTTGCGTGAGTTCATGTTCTTGGTGTGCCAGTGTTCTATGCGTGGTTGAATGCATCATGCACTTCTGGACAGTGATTGATATCCGACTTGCTTGGGCGAGTGTATGCGAGTGATGTGTAGTGGTGACCAATTGTACCAAAAGAAAATGACATTGAGAACATGATTTGCAAGCGCAACATGCGGCACAACTCACGTGCATACAACGACAAGAAAAACAGGAAATGTCGTAAATGACGCCATAAAACATTGTATGGCCTACAAATATATCCGCAACGCAATCCTGGCTTGAGCTAATTCAGTACCTACTTTCGCGGGAACACTTTAAACTCATGTAGGTAATGTTCACACGACGCAAGACTCATATACAAACATACAACACTAAAAACACTGAACACGGACATTTTGTAGCAGTATTGCATTGTATCAGCAGCGAGGTGGAAAACTGGCGGCACCTTTGTCTCAAACATACGTGCCAGCGGTGCAATAGGCAGCTGGCATTCAGATCTAGCAATAATGTGTGCTCATGATGTTAATGGCAACTGTGAGGAGGATGAAACAATTCTGAATTTGATAGGACAAAACTGTCTGGCCAATCTGTTCCGAGCACAACTCACTTTCCCTGGACATGCAGAGTATGTGTTGCTGTGAGTTAGGTACTTATCAGATGTCACATCGCTCTGCTTATGGTAGACCTGCAATATGTGACTTGCATGTAAACCCTGCCAGCAGCATGAAGTTTTGCACAATAAAACTGTTTTCTCTGTGTGGGCTTGCATATTTCGTTGGCAGCAGGCAGGCACAATGCTAGTTCCATACACCACTGACTACACGCACTCATGCACGTATTTACTTGAAAACTAGTACCTATTCACTCATTCACTAAATTACGTGTAAGATGACACGCACACGCTCACATACGCACATACATACCCACACACCCACATCCACCCTTACACACTCACAGGCACACATGCTCACAAATACCAATCATTCAGGGTTTCCGATGAGATGAAGTGTGTCTACTGTTTTCTGCCACATTACGTCATCACCCAAAGGATCGAATCAAAAGTATCTAGGGTTAAGAAGCATAAACAATTGCTGACATATACTTGTCACTTACTTCTAATATGCCCTACTGCAACCATAAGATTCAGTTGAACCACTTTGCTCATCTTTACTTTCAAGCTGACAATCAGCATTGACGAATCAGCATTGGTTTGGCCTTCATGAAAGCTTACGTCAATAGCGCAAATAAATAACTTGCATGTGGACGAATGGCTTTTAGTATGAATGCACATAGGTAAAGTGAACTGCGCACATGCTGTGACAAACTTTTGTTTGCCTAGTAAGAAAACAGTAGACACACTTGCTAGTTTGGATAAAGGGATATTCTCGTGCGTGTAAACGGTTAATATATTCGAATTTGAGGTTGACAAAATGTCAACGGTTGTTTGTGACGAACGGGGACTATATAGTAACAGTTACTGAAGTTTGGAGGACGTATCGACTGCTGAAATAATGTTTGCCAATGAACAAGAACATCATGCGATAACATGATTAACTAGATACGTTATTTCCAACTAACATTGCGTCGTAGTTTCGGATATTCCGAATGGCACTTGAAAACGTTAACAAATACTATTGTTTTCGGCCATCGTACAATGCTTGAAACAGTGCCTAAAACAAACAGTCAACGTCCGTAAATATAGTCTGGTGCAGTATGTGCACTGAGGGTATTGAAAACAACGCTCCTCAGGACATGGCACGCCCGACATGCAGGTCATCGAGAGTACAGTATGACGCGAATATCCCTTTAGTTGTCTAGAAGTAGAAGGTCTTGAAGTAGAAGGTCTTGAAGTAGAAGGTCTTGAAGTTGAAGGTCCGCGGAGAAAGCTCGCCACCGTAGACACTATAGCCGGGGATAACAGTAGCAATTGAAATTGTATTTGGCAAATAAATGATGATGAGGCACAACTGCAAATAGTCTTATTCATGACCGCCTTCCATTAGCAACGTGCTATAGTAACATAATTGGCAGAAGAAAACAGCTCATTTGTAGCCTCATTTGACGGACATCTGTTGAAGGAAATATATTTTCTTTTAACCTTTAACAAGTCCGCAAACTTTGTTGTGGCATGAGCGATTAAGCGCTACAAGTTGAGGCATGACCTAACGAAAAAGGAAACAATACCTAAGCTCATGATGCATAGACAGCTATGCACTGAGATTCCGGATGCGGCAGTGAAATCTTGTGTCAACTGACGCAAGGTTACAATGCTATTTACCGACGAAAAACGCGATTTTGAAGCATTTTCCTGGATGAAGTGAATATAGACTCAGACGTATTAGGTAACAGTCTGCTTGGATAAGGATAAGTATAAATTAAAGAGAAGCTTTGCACTCACTCATTGTGCAAATGTAGCAGCCTGCTAGCATTTACATGAAGAAACTCAATTTTATCTTCAATTGCTGCCGTGACATCTTATCCCCGACCTTGCCTCGCACATGACGACCCGTGGGGGGAGTCTGGTATCCACCGCCAGCAATTGTGCACACCGGTTCGGTGGACTGGACGTAAGATGACGCCACTCTACAACAGACTCGTGATCTCCGAGTGAGATCGATCTCCAAGTGAGACCTGGGTTTAGAGCAGCTTTCGATAGAGAGCCACTCAGGGCTCCCGTCGCGTGCCTCGTAAATGATACGAGCCATACGCGCCCCCCGGGATTTTAGCCCTGCAGGCAGTGCGGCTTTTGAGATGAAGTCTCCTCTAACGTTACGTTGGCTTGTGCATCACCAGTATTAACAACGAAAACAGTTCACGCTCGGATAAGCCGGATGATATGCTTCATACCAATGTGGTTATTAAGCATATCGTGAATGGCCTGTCAGCCTAGCTCAAGCCACCGAACGTAAGCCACCGAGCAAAGATCGAACGCTAAGTGTGCAATTAAAAAACACATTTTGCTTTTGAAGCAGGGAATGCAATCATTGTTTCATGCATTCCATTGGAAGCTCAGTGAACTAGGATATTATCATCTGACCAATGTCAGAAAGTGAAGGGGTAAAGCAGTGTTCGCCACGGGCCGCAAAATCCCAGTCCAGCTCCGCCCAGGCCATGGGTTCACAGCCAGGCCCAGCCAGAACCCATTCATGGTAAAATTGTCAAAGCCAAGCACGGCCCAGCTCGTCAAAATGAATGGATCGAAAGTGACGGACACCATACATATGTCACCCATAGGTGCAAAGCAATTATCTTTTGGAAGTAGCATGCACAATGCACATTGCACATATATGCTGTAACTGTTTCTTTGTCTTGCACAATAATAAGCTAGGTAGTTGTGATTTCTCTCAGTCGGGAACCTATTAGTCCACTTTACAGTTCTTGGCCCAGCCCATTCACAGCCCATCGATTCTTCATAATTGAGGGCCCAGCCCAGCCTATGGCCCATTGGGCTAGCCCGGCCCATGGCGAACACTGGTATAAAGAATGCGTGTCAAACGGCACTACAATGAGAGGCCCGAGTTCGACAGCTTGCGAAATGTACACAAATGCGGTTAAATTATCTATTTTACTCTAAAGGTGACGCATGTCGCCGCAGCAACGACCCAGCAAGCCTGCCTTCGTGGTTAGCGTGGGAGCCTGGTCCACAACCACGGCGATGATGCCCAGCTGTGGAGCCGTACGTGCATGGTGCAGGACTAAGCAACCACGGGCATTACGTCGTTGGAGAGTATGGGCCCGGACGAAACTCCAAATATCGACGGCCGACTATCTTCTGAGCACTGACTGGCAAAATGTGTCAGTGCGTGTGGTGTGTGCACTCCACCACACTCCCCGGCAAGAGGGATTAACTGTGCAAGGGCAGGCAATCCACCTTGGCGGTCGGAATTGCCGGTACGATGGACAGCCCGTTGGTGCCCATTTCGCACCAAAGTGCGCACTGGCTGGGATTTTACATGTAAGCCCTTAGTGGTGGGTGGTCGGCATCCACCACCCGCGCCGGCACAGTGCGGACAGCGTTCAATGTCTCGTAGATGATGGCTGGCAATCCACCGTTAAGGCTGGAATCGCCGGTACGTAGGACAGCCCGTTGGTGCCCATCTCGTACCCTCCTCTTCGGCCCTGAAGTCGTCCACGAGGGCTGACAATCCAACGGAAAAGGTGGAATATGACCTTCCTAACTTCCTAGGAAGAATAATTGACATCTTCAATGGAACGTATATGAGAAACCAAAATTCAATGAAATGCATATAGAAATGCAAATACTATATGAGCACAGTTCAATACTTGACATCAGCAAGCCATATTCATCCTATACTACACTGAGGATGCCAAATATGATGCTATTGCTACAAACTGAAGGCACTTTTTGTGGCATCTGAAGGCATTTGTTCATTCGCACAGGTTTTGCGAAATGTTTAGGAAAAATATTGTTCTGTACATTTAAGCCAGCATCAGTGACTCATTCAGTCCATTCCTTCATTCGTGCCGTGCTTTTTTTAACGATTTTTTTTTTGCAAAAAAATAGTGTTCTATACATTTAAAGTAGGTAGCAGTGACTCATTGAATTCATTTCTTCCTTCGTACCCCCTTTTCGAAACCTTAAGCAGAAATAATGCTCCTTGAAAAAAGGCATCAGTGGCTTATTGCGACAAGCCCGAGGCCATGAATGGTAATCTTGCATCAAATTCAACCTCAAGTATTGAACATCAAATAAAAGTATTGAAGTGCTTGCAATCAATGCTGGCACAACCATGACTTGGAGCATTTTGTGCAATTTCAAGATGAGTTAGGCATTGACGGCTAGGCCCTGATTGGAGTGAATAGCTGTAAGCTAACATAAATGTGTACCGCTATATCAGATAATTGTATGAGCTCAGACTTTGCAAAAAGGTCATATTCTACCATTTAGGTCGGAATTGCCGGTACGCTAGGACAGCCTGGTGCCCATTCCGTACCGCCTCGTCTCGGAGTGGGTGTGGTCTCGAAGTCTCGTTGATGATGGCTGGCAAGCCACCGTTACGGTCGGCATTGCCGGTACGCTGGACAGCCTGGTGCCCACATCGTACCATGTCGTCTTCGGGCCCAGGTGTGATCTCGAAGTCTCGTTGATGCTTGCGGGCAATCCACCGTTAAGGTCGGCATTGCCGGTACGCTGGACAGCCTGGTGCCCACATCGTACCATGTCCTCTTCGGGCCCAGGTGTGGTCTCTGGCAATCCACCGTTAAGGCTGGAATCGCCGGTACGTAGGACAGCCCGTTGGTGCCCATTTCGTACCACCACACGGTGTTGGAGGCGAGTCTGGTTGAAACTCTCGTCGATGATGGCTGGCAATCCACCGTTAAGGCTGGAATCGCCGGTACGTAGGACAGCCCGTTGGTGCCCATTTCGTACCACCACACGGTGTTGGAGGCGAGTCTGGTTGAAACTCTCGTCGATGATGGCTGGCAATCCACCGTTAAGGCTGGAATCGCCGGTACGTAGGACAGCCCGTTGGTGCCCATTTCGTACCACCACACGGTGTTGGAGGCGAGTCTGGTTGAAACTCTCGTCGATGATGGCTGGCAATCCACCGTTAAGGCTGGAATCGCCGGTACGTAGGACAGCCCGTTGGTGCCCATTTCGTACCACCACACCGTGTTAGAGGCGAGTGTGGTTGAAACTAGAGGTGGCAAAAGATGAAAATTTTGGGAACCAGACTCGAACCAGACCCGGCTGGACATTTCTGGAACCAGTCGGACCCGGTCTTAGTTGGAATCGGAACCAGTTGGACCCGTTTCCCAAAAGTCAATTAATACAAACTACTTGTGGGTATCATAAGTTGCATTATGTAAAACAGCCTATTTTCCACTGGGAATACTCATGAGCTACTGTGTGCAAAGAAACATTCACTTCATTCATTTCATATTTTGCAATAATGTGTAGTGTGCAAGATGTATAGTTTATGGTAGGACCCGGTTGGACCCGTCAGAAAATTTCCAGGAACCGGTCTGGACCCAGATGGGTCCAGACTGGTTCTTTGGACCGGGTCCTCGGGTCCACATTTTGCCACCTCTAGTTGAAACTCTCGTCGATGATGGCTGGCAATCCACCGTTTAGGCTGGAATTGCCGGTACAGTTCGACAGCCTGGTGCCCTAATGGTACCACAGCGTGGTGAGTCCTCTTTGTCGGAAACGTAGGACGTCTGTTGCCCTGGACGATTTGAAACCGTCGAGGATTTTCCGTGGTACAAATGTACAGGATGTTACTACTAATAAGAAGTTCAAGAACTCTTAAAGGCAATATACCACTTTTCTCCATTTAGGTTTTGGCTACAGTCTTATGATTGTGTTTGTTGAAAATGTTTAGGAAACAAAATAATAAATGTTGAAAATTTTTGACATATTTTCATACAGCAAGAACTCTTCCACATTTGGTAGAGACTAGACAGTATTTTCAGTGAAAGCTGCTTACGCGTTCACCTATCATATTCCGTAGTTCAAACCAGCTGCATGCTGATTGGCCGAATATTGGCCACTGCCACAGGTATACTTGCATCCTTGGCGTCTATCCGCAAGTGGAAATATTCCTACACAAGGCACTCTTTTCGGAACGAGAAATGAAATATATTTGCCTAGGGTCATCGTTGGGCCGTAAAAGCTCCTGATTTGTGTTAGTCTCAGCTCAGGCTACAAAACTTGTTAATTCAGTTCAAAAACCTATGTTAAGAGTGGTATATTTCCTTTAAATGAAAACGAGCAATATTTAATGGAACATCCACGGTGAGAATTTAGCTACAAGCTCTTAAAGTTATTCAAGTCATTTACTTTTTATATAAAGCATATTCCGTGACCCAATGAAGAGTTATTTGTTAAATGAAAATATGCTGAACGCATTTTGGTGTTGCCACTCGAAATCTTTGTAATCAGCAACCAGCTGAGTCGTGATAAGACCGGCCAGGAGGCTAATGTTGCCATCAGAATGACCGATTTTCCAGACGGGTTGCCAACCAAGGAGCAACTGGAAAACGACCCGGCGCTGTGCAAAAGACTTGCTCAGTCGCTGCTTTGTCTACGCTCAAAACTGGAGGATTCTGACGCTTACTGGCGAGTGCAAAAGCAGGACGCCATCGGCATCGCTCGCTACCTTGAGAGCCCGCCGCCGTGGCGGTCTGATGCAATCCCCATGGAGGTGTACCTGTGGCAGACACGAGCCGTTCCCTACAATCATCATCCGGCTATTCATCGGCTGTGTGACAACGCTGCCGTGAATGAGGCGCTCAGTGACGAGCGCTATCTCCATGCACGGCTAGCCAACACGCTGCGACATCCCGGCATCGTGGCGTGGGTGTCGGCGCTGATTGGTGAGCTGGACACCTTGGCACTATCTGTGGCACGACACTCTGCAACATACTTCCTGGTGCGCTCTGAGTGGGGTGCTAACGCCAACCCACACATTCACCGTCACGTGATCAGTGAATCGTTCTCACGATTCCTACACCAGCTTCAGACCTCTCTGAAGAACAAGGTGGCAGAGATCGAAAGAGATTTGCGGGTGGAAGACCCCACTTTGGAGAGCGATGATTCTCGCGTCACTCTTGAGACGCGCGTCAGCGCGGCCTGGCGTGACTGTCAACAAGAGTATGTCAGGCACATCGGTCGCTGCTACACCAACTGGAATGCCGGCTTCACAAAAGACGGCGAGCGCACTTTTGACTTTGCCTACGATCGCAA